CATGTTTAGTAGGGAAGGCTTCAGTCCATCCTGAAAAAGTATCTACAAAGACTAGCAAATAATGGTATCCATACCTGCCAGGTTTTACCTCAGTGAAATCCATTTCCCAATAGGCTCCAGGTTTTCTCCCTTGAAGTCTGATTCCTGGGTTTCTAATATTTGGCACCACATTAGTGAGTTGGCAAGCTTTACAGCCATTGACAATGTCTTTAATCTTCTTCCTTGATGTTTACTTCGGCATGTTGAATTAAGTCCTGCATTCTCTTGATGTACTTCAGCATCAGATAATGGGGTATCTCCCAAATCTGATCGGGTGCCGTGGACATGGGCCAGGATTCCGACACAGTCATGCAGGGGGCATCCAAGTCTGGGTCTGGCAAAAGCATGGCTGGATTCAGGTCAACTGGTACCTGGAAAGTGATTCTAGCAGGATTAAGAAGTAATGCCTGATAATGAGTTATACGGGCATTACTTAGCCATCTGTCTGGATGCTGCTTTAAAACTCCTTTAATTGCATGTGGTGTGGTGATGGTCAAGTTCTGGCCCAAAGTCAGTTTGTCAGCATCTTTTACCAGTAGTGCTTCTTTGAGTATATAGCCCAAGTATTGGACCTGTTGTTTGTATAGTTGGGCCTTTTTAGCAGAGGCCGATAGCCCAGGCTTCCCAACATCTGCAACAGGCATTCTGTGCTATCCATGCATGCCTCTTGGCTGTCTGCCACCACAAATAGGTCATCCACATACTGCAAGAGACTCCTTTCCCCAGTGCTGTCTGTCTCAGATGCCTCCTCCAGTCCTCTGGATCCACAGTGGCAGCCAACAGGATCCTTGCCAGGTCCTTGTTCTGCCTCCTTTCTGCCTTTATCTGTTTTTCCTCTGCACTATCCCTATTATTGTATACTTTCTTGGCCACAGTTATTAAATCCCTTAAGCTCTTTTTACCCAGTCTCTCTACTCTTTGGAGCTTTTTCTTTATATCCGGAGCTGGCTGGTTAACAAAAGCCATGGCCACTGCCACTATATTATCTTTGGTCTCCAGGTGTAATGGAGTGTACCTGCAGAAGGCATCCATTATTTGCTCCAGGAACACAGCTGGGCTTTCATTTAGTTCCTGACTAATATTGTATACCTTTGCCAAATTAGTTGGCCTATAAGCAGCCGCTTTGAGACCTGCCAACAGAGCCTGGTGGTAAACCAGAAGCCTCCCCTTACCTTCTGCAGTATTATAATCCCAATCAGGCTGGGTCAGTGGATAGGCAGCATCAATCAGTGTCGGGTCAGTAGTAGGGACACCAGTATTGCCAGGAATTAATTTCCTGGCTTCTGTTTGGCTGCGTTCCCTTTCCTCTGTGGTAAACAGGACCTGTAATAATTGATGACAATCATACCAAGGGTTGGTGTATGAATAAGACAGTTTCTAATAAATTAATAAGCTCCTTAGGATTTTCAGAAAAGTTAGCATTCTGGGTTCTCCAGTTGTAAAGGTCACTAATGGTGAATAGCCAATGGTGATGGGGCTGGTTGCCAGCCTCATCCGCAGGGCTGGCAACTCTGAGGGGTAGAACAGTAGAGTCTGGACCCTCTGGTGTTGCTGCCCTTCTATTCCTAGTCCCCTGAGCCAGTCCCCCCCTTGTGCCTGTGAAGAATCTGGTACCAGGGGTGCCGGTTCCAGAGGGGGTACCTGAGTTCTGGAGGGGGTACATCCTGTGGAGGAGGTGGATAAGGAGGGGGAGGAAAAATTAGATCTTTTTCTGTGCTGCCCTGTAAGACAGGGTACAGTGACAGTACTGATGGTTTAGTTTCAGGTTTAGGTGTTTTCTGGGTTGTCGTTTTCCATTCTGCAGTCAGCACCTCAGTTTTCTGAAAAGGAAGAAAAGACTTGACCCAAGGAGGGGGGTTATTAACTAAATCTCCCCAGACCACTATGTATGATCTTTGATCTGAGTATCCTACATGTGGTTGAAGAATAATTTTCTCAACCATGTTAATGACAGCGGGATCAAAGGTCCCCTCTGAGGGCCATCCCGCATTGAAAGTGGGCCAAAGCGGGCCATTCAGACCTGCAGAAAGTAGTTAGTTTATTCTTCCTGACAACAACAGAGAGGTTATGGGCTCGAGTCTTAACCTCTCCAAAATGTGCAAGAACCAGGTCCAGGGGTGTAGAGGGAGTCTGTCCCATTGCGTCCATCTCAGTCACAGAGACATAGACAACCAAAGACAAAACAGAGAGTCAGAAAGACACGTAGAAGGCCATGTAGCAAATTCCCCTGCTCATGCAGAAGAAAAACTGAAAGGACAGTGGCAAAGTGCCATGCCGCGGGAGCGACCTGCCTTGTCCTTTCACAGAAATCAGCAGAGTCCAGGGCCCTCCGTCTCCTCTGCTGGGGTCTGGAACATCTTCCAAACCTCTGTGGTCATGGTCATCCAGTGCATCTGCTCCAGCCGCTCCTGACCACACTGTTCACAAGTTTGCCTCGAGGCTCAGAACAAAAGCTAGGACAGACACAGACAGGCACAACTAGAAACAAACACTTACCGGCTGGCCAGGAACCCTTCGGTTTGGGGGTCCTGGGAGGTCTTGGGGATCCCGGACGAGCCCCCAAGATGTGCCCAGTTCACAAGACCCCAAAGACCACCAAGGAGCCGACCAATGCAAACACACAAGGGTTTTTTATTGTTACAAGCTTAAGGTTGGGCCCACTCTATCACCGACCTAGTGGATCTCAGATATGAGACCCCTTGCTTTGGGAGACAGATATTTTTATAGGTTTATTTCAGCAAGTTCAGCAAGTAGGGGAGTAGGGGGTCTCCAGCCTCGCAAGCATCTGATTGGTTGCAGCCCAGTGCCAAACCATAAACTGCTGGCTTCAGGAAATCTGAAAAGTCATCTGGACTTTTAGTACTTTCCTCTCCCTGGTTAATTGACCGTTAGCAGGGAAGTTGTTCTCTATCCGTTCCAAGTATACTTTGTTTGTGTGTGTGTGTGTGGTTTTTCCTGGAACAGGGCTCAGGGCTGGGTCATTCCCATGGAGGTTTTATCCAAGATGGAGTCACTCAGGTCTCTCGAGGGCAGTTTGGACAATATGAGTCCCTGTCTCAAAACAAATATGATCATATGCCTAATGAAGTCAACTCCTAACCAAGGTATTATTAATGCTAGTGGGTTCTTTGTTTGGGTTTATTTTTATTTTTATTTATTTATTTTGGTCTTTTTGAGACAGGGTTTCTCTGTAGTCTCTGCTGGTCTGAAACTCACTATTGTAGACCAGGCTGGCCTCTATCACAGAGATCTGCCTGACTCTGCCTTCTGAGTGCTGGGATTAAGTCTATAAATTTATAAATCAAGCCTTGTGTTTGACTGGCATTAGAGCTAGTATCTTTTTTGTTGTTGTTCTTTTTGAGACAGGGTCTCCCTGTAGCCCCAGCTATCCTGGAACTCACTATATGTAGACCAGGCTGGCCTTGATCTCACAGAGATCCACCTGTCTCTGTCTCCGGAGTGCTAGGATTAAAGGCGTGCATCACCACGCCCAGCATATTTTTATTTTTAAAAAAATTTTAATAACTACATGATTACAAGCATTTCATTACAGGTTTAACATATTCAGTAACACACTCTAGAGCAAGAGTACATCTCTTTCACAAGTGGCTGTAAGTTTATAGGTTCACAGTTCAATTAATACAGTTATACAATATTGAACTCAGTATAAGCCCTGTAAGACATAAAATTGAATGAGTTTTTAGCCTTTAAAAAAGATCTCCATTTCATTTTAGAATATATTGTTCCTTGTAGAAAGATTCATTGTTTTTGCTACTAACACTGAGATGTTGGTACATGCATCTCTACTGGCCTTGATCTCACAGAGATCCACCTGTCTCTGCCTCCCAAGTGCTGGGACTAAAGGCATGTACCACCATGCCCAGTATGATAGTAACTTTTACCTGTTGGTCTCTGAAGAGTCCAGGATCTTGTGACTTCTTGCTTGTTGACATGGTTATCGGTAAATGGTTCAGCCAGGGTATTTATGCATTCACTCAAAACGATTATAGTGGTTGGATTCTTTGTTTTGTCAAATAAAGTTTTAGTTTAGATTGTCCAAAAATCAGCCTGGAGAAAAGGGTGTGTTTGTTAGTAGCTTATTCAGGAGGTAGGCACAGAAGGCTCTGCAGAAGGGCAACCAAGAGCAGGGATACCCATCATTGCTCCATCCTGTGGGGAGCCTCTGAGGAACAGTTGGAGGCCAGTGTGACTGTATGAGATACTAGCTCAGAAAAAACAAAATCAGTGCAGGAGAGATGGCTCAGTGGTTAAGAGCACTGGCTACTATTGGAGATAGTAATTAAAGAAAGAAAAAGGATGGGGCATGGTACATAGACCTCTAATCCCAGCAATCAGGAGACTGGCAGAGGCAGGTGGATCACTGAGAGTGTGAGAACAGCCTGATCTACATAGCAAGTTCTAAGCCAGCCAGGGCTACCTAGTGAAAACACTGTCTCAAAGAATAAATAAAAACAAAACAAAAAATTATCCCACTATGGAGCTGAGAAGCATTCCTGCAACATAAACTCCCTGGCACTCGGCTGCCGAACCCAAGAGCCCACAACTAGAGAAATACTGGGAGGAGAGCTGCAAGAGCTGTGAGAGGGGCGAGAACTCTTCCCACATGGCTTTTGCAGTGGCGTTGGTCTTGAGCTGCCTCGTGGGTGCTGGGACCCAAACCCAGGTCCTCTGCAAGAGCAGCCACGGCTCGTAAAGCCTGAGCCGTCCTCCAGCCCTTCTTTCTCTTTTTTACTTACACATTGTATCACAAAGCTGGATTGTTTGTATTTTGTTACAGAGAGTGCAGTTAATGCTGCTAGTAAGTACTGAAAGTAAAGATATTCATTATATGTTGTTTTTCCTTAGGATTTTCTATTGCAGCAAACGATGCTAAGGATTAAGGATCCTAAGAAGTCACTGGATTTTTATACTAGAATTCTTGGACTGACGTAAGTGAAGTAGTTCTTAGCCACTTCAATGTTTAAAACCATAACTTTGCAAATATAGGGAATGTTTTCAGACACATTTAAAAACTGAAAGTTTGTTTCAGGAGTAACACAAGTTGGACCAAGTAGATGGCTTAATGGGTAAAGGAGTCTGCCACCAAGCCTGGGTGACCTGAGTCTGTCCCCAGGCCCCGCTTGGTAGCGAAAACCAACCCCCACAAGTTATCTTCCAGCTTCCACGTGCATGCCACAGCACGTGCCCCACCCCCACCACTAATAAATAGGTGTAAAAAAATTTTTTTGAGGTAACAGAAGTTCTCTGTGCCAGGAGTCTGCGGGGGGCCTGATTAGACAAGGGCTTGGTTCAATTCTCTTCTGCCAGGCCACGGCCCAGGGGCAACAAAAGACATACATACTTTCATTTTCTGCAAATTCCCTTTTCCCTGAGAGCTGGCCAGCTAAATCCTTCATGCAGTCAGACCCTTATAAATATTCTGACTGCTTTCAGTCTCTTGCTTTTTTCTGAAATCATGTCAGGACATCTTATTCAGAAGATGAATGGATTTATTTAAACTTGACCCTTGGTTCCATTTTTATAGGCCGCATTCTCTTTTGCTGATCAGGCCGCTGGTTTTATAATCCTTAGAGTCTTTTGATGCTGATTTTTTTTTCCCCTCCCCTGCTTTATTGAGGCATAACTGACAGTTTTACTTTTCTTGGTTTCTTTCCTTAAATAACATGAGGTTTTTGTTTTTGATAATGCACATATGTAAAGACTTAAATTAGGGGCTGGAGAGATGGCTCAGTGGGTAAGAGCACTGAGTGCTCTTGCAGAGGACCCAGGTTCAGTTCCCAGTACCTACATAGTGGCTAATAAACCATCTGTGACTCCAGTTCCAGGGGATCCGACGCCCTCTTCTGACTGCGGGCATTGCATGACATGGGTGCACTGACATACATGCAAGCAATATGTTCATACACATAAAATAAAAATAACAATATTTTAAAAAATAAATTAAAGATCTTTAATTTACTGCTCAGATAACTTCCATTAGCATTGTGAGAACAGTTCAAACAGTATAGTACAGTCTACTTAGAAAATTTGGCCAGTTCTGAAAACAAAATGAAGAGTAATAGCTTTCTTCCCCTAGCCGCCCTTTCTCCCCAAAGGTAGCTGCTGTTACTGTTTCTTATGGTTCTTTCCAGAAAAAAAGTGACTTTCCATATATTTATGGCACATTTAAAGGACAGAGTGAGAAATTCATTGAGCACTTGCTATTTACCAGGCACCAACCCCATTCTTCCCTTCAGTCTTCACAGCAGACCTTACAGATGGCTTATACCTTCGTACCTGTGAAGAAACCAGAGCTTAAAGAGATGACATTTCTGGTCTCAAATCCCACAGTTGACATCTGGCAGAGCTGAAATTTGAATCCATGTTGGATGGGCCCAACTGTTGATCCTGTTTTTAAAGAGCCCCTCCCTGGCCTGGAGAGATGGCTCATTGGTTAAGAGCACTGGCTGCTCTTATAGAGGACCCAGGTTTGGTTCTCTGCACCTACGTGGTGGCTAACAACCATCTGTTACTCCAGTTCCATTGGATCTGATACCCTCTTTTGGCCTCTGCTGGCATTGCATGACACGGGTGCTCTTAGATATGTGCAAGCAAAACACTCACACATTAAAAATAAATAAAACTTTAAAGAGCCTCTCCCCACAATAGGGTGCATCTTGACAATAACCTAGAGAGACGCTTTGCTGCGAAAAGCAAGTTACAAGAGGTTCATTTGCTTCAGCTCCTATCTGATTGTTCATTAAGGCTGGTACAGTCTGCTTTGTTGGGGACAGAGAGTTTTCCCGATTGTACTCTGGGGTGCTTGACCTTTGTGGTGATGGCATAGAATAAATTTTATTTGTGATGAATCAATGCATCAATCTCAGTGGTCCACGGCATATCAGATAGCAGGTATAAGTACATAAGAGTTTGGAGCAGAACTCTAGAAGCTGCATTGGAGGCTAGGGAGAGGGCTCAGTTGGTAAAATGCTTGCTGCCTGAGCATGAAGACCTGAGTTCAATCCCCCAGAACCCATGTGAGAAAGCTGGGTGCAGTGGTGTGCTCCTGTAGTCCTGTTGCTAGGGAGGCAGAGATGGAAGGATCCTTGGGGTTTGCTGGCCAGCCAGTGCAGCCAAATCAGTGAGATCCAGAGTCAAAACAGTAAGGTGGAAGCCAGCTGTAGTGGCACCGGCCTTTAAATCCCAGTACTTGGGAGGCAGAGGCAGACAGATCTCTTTGAGTTGGAAGCCAGCCTGGTCTATAACTAGTTCCAGGCCAGCCAGGGCTACCATAGTGAGACCATGGTCTCAAACAAAAAGGGATAAAAAAGAGCAATTGAGGATATTCCGTGTTGATCTCTCGCCTCAACATGAGTACACATACATACACACACCATATACATGTTTACACAAGCAAGCATGCTAACACAAAAAGAAATTTTGAATTTGCTCGATGAACAAGGTTGTCTTTGAGCTCTTTATCCTCGGTAATCTAAATCAATGTTCCTAGTCCCGGGCACTCCTAGTCAACAGGCATATATAATCTTTTGTCCTGTGATAAGCTATGGTTTCAATGATGTTTCAAAACCTCAGAATTTAGTTTATTCACTCTTCCTCCCCCATCAAGCGTGTCCTGTCCCACTGACACGTTCCCTTCAGCCTACAACCAACTTCAGTCTTTCGAGACTGTGTCTCTGCTCCTTTATTTCCCTCCCTTTGTCATTGTCTGTGCACAGAGATCTGTGTAGACCATGCTGGCTGCTGTTTTGTGTCGTTTTTAGTTTACCTGCATGGATATAGGTGCACCTGTGTCATGCAGTGCCTGAGGAGGCCAGAAAGAGGCCACAGGACTCCCTGGAACTGGAGTTAGTTGCTGTGGGAGTGCTGGGAACTGAACCTAAGTCCTCTGCAAGAGCAGCTAGTGCTTTTAACCACTGAGCCATCTCTCCAGCCCTCTGGCTGCTGTTTGGCTTGCTTGACTCCCCTCCTTCCTAGGCCAGTGAGGTCCAGCTTCCACTGTCCCACACTGTCTAAACTGCCCTCACTGGTCCTTCCTTGTCTCCTGACCTTTTATAGTCTTAATCCTGTTTCAACTTTCTCTGCTATTTGACACTCTAACCCCCTTGTTGTTGACCTCACATTTCCTGTGGTAGTAACTGCCCTTCCCATTCCCCTAGCTGCTGCTCCAGGTCTTCTTTTCTCAAAGTTTCAGCACAGTGAGGACTCAGTACATGTGTTTAACCAAATGGCATGCATCTGAATGCTAGGGAAATGAGTTACTCACTAAAAATAAGGCTCCCCATTTATAGACAAGTACTATAATTCTAGCTGAATTTCATTAAATGTGAACAATTAAGAGCTGGCTGTGCTGGGCCACCTCTGTTATCTAAGCACTTAGGAGGCTGAAGCTGGGGATGAATTTGAAGTCAGTCTGGGCTATATAGTGAGTTCAGGCTGTCCTTGGCTACATAGCAAGACCCTGTCTCAAAGAAACAAAACAAAAAACAACCAAAGAATTGATGAATTGCAGAAGCTTCTTTTTTAACTAAAATTTCATTATCTAAGTGTGTGTGTGTCTGTATGAATGTATGCTGCATATGTTCAGGTGTCTGGAGGCCAGAAGAGTGTCAGATCCCTTGGAGCTGAACTTAGAGGTGGTTGTGAACTGCTCAACATGGATGCTGGGAACCAAATTCAAGTCTTCCAGAAGAACAGGAAGCACTCTTAACTGCTGAGCCATCCCTCCAGACTTGGGAGTTTCTCCCCCACACATACCTTTTTTGGTGTGTGGTGTGCACTTGGGGGGGGTGGGACTGGGCACATGTGTGGAGCCTAGAGGTCAACTTTGGGCTCTGTTCCTTAGCAGCTTACCACTTAGGTTTTTGAGACAGGATCTGTCACTGGTACCTGGGGCTTGTAAATTAGGCTACACCAGCTGGCCAGTGAGCCCCATCAGATGTGCTGTCTCTGCCTCCCCTGGGATTGCAGGCACCTGCCACCATCCCCAGCTTTTTACATGGATGCTGGGGATCAAACTCCAGTCCACATGCTTGCCTGGCAAGCTCTTTACAGAGTGAACTATAAATGAGATTCCCTCCTCCCATTAACTTCTGCCCTTTTTTTCCCCTCTGAAATAACTGCATTCTATGAACTCTTATTCTTAGTAGAACTTAAATATCATTGCATTGATTTTTAGTATGAATCAGCCTTTCCTCTTGTAAATAATTTTGGCTTGCTTATTTTCATTTCAGGCTGCTCCAAAAGTTTGATTTTCCTAGTATGAAATTTTCACTCTATTTCTTGGCTTATGAGGATAAGAACGACATCCCCAAAGACAAGAATGAGAGAACAGCATGGACGTTTTCCAGAAAAGCTGCGCTCGAGCTCACACAGTGAGTCTTTATGTCTCTCTATAGATTCAAAATTTTCTTAAGGTACTTTAAAAAATGCCTTTAATCGCAGCACTGAGGAGGCAGAGTAGGCAAACCTCTGTGAGATCAAGGCCAGTAGTCTACTTAATGAATTCCAGGCCAGCTGGGGCTACAGAGAGACCCTGTCTCAAAAAACAACAAAATATCCAGCACACTACTTTGTAGTACTTAATTTTTAAATTTTAAGGCATTTTTCTAATCTCAACATTTTAAAGTACAAAAATAAGGATTCCCCATTTTTCCCTTTCTACTATTTTTTTTTTTTTTTTTGAGACGGTCTCCCTGTAGCCCCAGTTGGCCTGGAATTCACTCTGTAGACCAGGCTATTCTTGATCTCACAGAGATCCACCTGCCTCTGCCTCTCCTGTGCTGAGATTACAGGTGTGCACAACCATACCTCCCTTTCTTTAGACTGTTTCTTTGTACTCTTTGGCAACTACCAAAAGAGCATTTTTTGCAGTATGCCTGTGTGTGTGTCCCTTGATTCAGACAGACTTGCCTAAGTGGCCGGCTCATCTGTAAGACAGAAGTACCCAGGTCTAGCCCTTGGAGCTTTTTAAGGGCTTAACAAATAGACATACATAGAATTTAATACATACGTGACAGCCGCTGGCCTTGTTACTGTCCTCTCACCCAGTCGCCTGACTTGTCTCTCCTTAACCTGCTTTGAATTATCCTGGCAGCTTGCATCTTCTACAGGGGAAAACTCATATCTGTAGTAGCAGGGTTGGGCCCTGTATGTAAAGTAGCATGCAGACACGGTAAGACTTTGGAGCAATTTCCTTTCAGAGTGGCTATTCCGCAGCTCAGAACTGTAAGTCGTTATATTAGGGAGGTTCTCTAAAGGACCATAACCAATGGCATGTATGTATAAAAGGGGATTTATTAGATGGCTGACATGATATGGTCTGGGTAGTCCAACAATGGCCACCTGAACACTGGACAGGCCGAGAACCCAGGAGCTGCTCAGGCCGCAAAGCTGGGTACCTCCAAGGTCCTAAACCAGTGCTGGAGGCCTGGCCTCCCTGCAGGTCGCTGGTGTTGGATCCATGACAGAAGGCCAGCGAGCTGGAGTCCGGCAGCAGCAGGGCATGGCGGCAGCAGTGGATGCACGCCTCAGCTGCAGTGTGACACTGCTTTTTCTTCACGTGCCTTTTGGAAGGTGTCACCCACTCTGAGGGTGGCTCTTCCTCTTTGGAGATGCCCTCACAGACATGAGTCTCAGTCCTCCACATGGACTGTGAAGACCAGCCATCATGGTTGTGTTTTCCCTTCCTTTGTAGCAACTGGGGCACAGAAGATGATGAGACCCAGAGTTACCACAACGGCAACTCAGACCCTCGGGGATTTGGTATGTGTGCCTCCTGTGTGTGCTGCTGGTGGGTTTCTGTCATTTTGCACAATGTACATATTTATGACTACAGTAACCCTAAAACATGAATGACTTAGTTTTTAAGTATAATCAATTTATTAGAGAGATGGTTATCTTGTTTTATACAAATAATCTTATTTAAGGGTGATAACAGAAACAGGCAGATCTCTGTGATTTTGAGGTCAGCCTGGTCTACATAGTGAGTTCCAGGCCAGCCAGAGACCCTGTCTCCAAAAGAAAAGAAAAAAAAAAAAAAAAAAAAAAAAAAGGAGGCGCTTCAAAGTTTAAGTTTTCCAGTAAGCTTTGTTTTTGATGTGATACTAGGGCTTGTGCATGTTAGGCAACCACTCTACCAGTAAACTGTACTACTTCCCCTACTCAAAGAGTTTTTAACTGTAAAAGAAACAAAACTGATTCTCAGTTTCTGGTAGTGTATACTTCTACTTTTATCTAAAATTTCTCATCAAGATGACAGAATTACAAGTTTCGTTTGGATACTGTCTAGTCAATACCCACAATAAACCTATTAAATATGAGTAAATGATAACTTTTTGGTATGGATTATTCTAAATAGATTGACCTATATATTAGCCAATGCTGGTTTATTTAAAAATAACATAATTCAGAGGCTGGAGAGCTGGCTCAGTGGTTAAGAGCACTGGCTGCTCTTACAGAGGATCTACATTCAGTTCCCAGCACCCACATGGTGGCTAACAACCATCCCATAACTCCAGTTCCAGGGGATCTGGTGCCCTCTTCTGGATTCTACAGGCACTGCACACACATAGTGTGCTTACATACATGCAGGCAAAATACTCATACACATAAAATAAGTTTATGAAAAGAAAGTACAGGTATATGAAACAAATAGTAAGACAGACTCCATGGACAGACATGAAGTAGCCCTCACACACATACAGTGACAAGAAAAGTGGGATAATTAGAGCAACCACTTATTTGATTATATCCAGCTAGTTAGATCACTATTTCTTGTTTACTATAGATTTTTGAACCTATTTAACTCTGTTTTCAAGTGCCTTATGTTTTGGAATCCAAATGGCAATTGGGTACACTGTTGTAATTATTTCTCCTTTGCTCTGTTTTTTTTGTGTGTGTGTGTGTGCGTGTGTGTTGGGATGGGATATCACCTAAGGTCACATTGGAATTGCGGTTCCTGATGTATATGGTGCCTGTAAAAGATTTGAAGAGCTGGGAGTTAAGTTTGTGAAGAAACCTGATGAAGGTGAGTCAGTCCGGCACCCACTGTGTGCACACCTGTGATTTGATAATACTCTCAAGTAACTGTTGTAGTCAAGCTTGTTGATTGCAAGCAACAGAAGTCTTTCCAACAGTTTTGAGAGAAGGAGAATACCCCGGTATCTTAGGAACTGAGAGACAGGTGGCTTCAGAAAGGACTAGACAGGTTCTGGACAGCCATCAGAAATCTAGGCTCCTGGGGTTGGAGAGGCAGCTCAGCTGTTAAGAGCACTGGCTGCTCTTGCAGAGGACCTGGGTTCAGTTTCCAGCACCTACATGGTGGCTAACACCCATCTGTAACTCCAGTTCCAGGGAATCCTATGCCCTCTTCTGGCCTCCGTGGGCATTGTGCAACATGGGTGTACTTACATACATGCCTGCCTGCTTTCATGTGTATTCTGGGACTTCCACACTTGCAGGGCCAGTGCTTTATCCACTGAGCATCTCCTCAGCCTCTGTTGTTCTTTATTATCATTTCCACCCCTTGGTTTTGCTAGGTTCCTTAACATTTTCTTGTCTTGGTTCACACTGGTCATATTTCACGCTGCTCATCCCTCTTGCATGTTTTAATAGTTCCTGGTCCGTTGATGTCATAGTTCATGTTCAGTTTGAATCTATAATTCATGGTTTAAATAATTATATTCCTAAATTCTTGTTATTTTAACCTCCAAACTATTTTTCTTTCCCTCAGCTTTAAGCTGTTCTAATCCATCAGGCAGTGTGAAGGGCAGAAAGCCAGAACTAATCCTCTGTAATCCTGAATGATCTCAGGAAGACTGGCTTATAAGCCCCAGGCTGCATTTCCTGTTTACCTGGAAATGAATACTCCACATTCCTAATTGAATTCTTCAGATTAGATGCAACCCTTTCTCCCTCAGCAAAGCACTGTTAGTAGGAGACACGTTGGAGGTTGTCATTCCTGGCCCTGGCTGTGTGGAAAGGGAACAAGGGAGTTCAGTACTGAATAGACTTTCGTGGGGTCCTCACTAGCACGAGCTTGCTGTGTTGCCCTTTACTGTTGAGGACATCTGGGAACCAGCAGTTGAGACCCTCACATGTGCAGGGGAGTGTTGAAGCCCGGGGGACTGAGGGAGCGGAAGCAAATGTTCTTCTGTTTATTCTCCCACAGCCATGAGCCTCTCTGCCAAATTGCCACTTACAGTGACCAGGTTTAGATAGTCATCTCCCCATCCCTAGCCCTTTCTTTTTCATCCACATTTCTATTCCTTGGCCTTGGGGTCAGGAAGCAGAGGTGAGTCAAAGGAATTCAGCATCTTGGTCCCAGAATAAGACCACTTTAGACATCTAAGCAAACAACTCTGACCTGGTAGCCTCTCCATCCTAGTTATAATCCCTGGGAGTCACATTCTGATTAACAGGACTTGGCTTACCTGGTATACTGTTTAACAGACTTTATGTGACCCAAGCCTCTGGGTATCTTGGTTGAGTGGGTAGGCCGTATCACCTGTTCCCTTGAGCACCTCTCTGTCTTCTTTTCCTTCTTAAATGTTTTCTGTGACTGGTGAACTGGTAGCATCAAAATGAGGCAATTCCTGATACCTAACAGATACAGAACAGTTCTTAGCAGGGCTGGTTTTCAGCTACTAGTGAAAGGTAACAGTTCTGTCATGAAAAACATGTAGGAACATTGGCAATAAAGAATTTTTTAAAACTATGGGGATGGAGAGATGGCTCAGCAGTTAAGAGCACTAGCTACTCTTGCAGAGGACCTGAGTTCAGTTCCCAGCACCCCGTGGTGGCTAACAACCATCTGTAACTCCAGTTCCAGGGGATCCAATGCCCTCTTCTGCTCTTCATTGGCATTGCATGACTCGGGTGCATTTAAGTACATGCAGGCAATACACTCATACACATAAAATAAAAATAATTAAAAAAAACATGAAGGTATAAACAAAATATATTTCATTAAAATACAAATTAAATTTTGATAAAATCGTGCTTGATTTTTAAGGGTTTTCTTCTTTCTAGTGATGATATTTTTCATTTTGCAGGTAAAATGAAAGGTCTGGCATTTATTCAAGATCCTGATGGCTACTGGATCGAAATTTTGAATCCTAACCAAACAGCAGAGATTATTTCGCTGTGAGAATGCTCCCTTGAGGTGTCAGTGAAGATGGGATGGAACCGTGTGGCTTGGGTGCTCAGACACCAGAAGCCTCGAGCACTGTTGTAATACAGTCCCAGTTCCCATTATCCGGAAGTCCATTTCCCTTTCCTACTTAGCTGTGTGGTTTTTGTTTTTCTGTTTTTAATTTCCCTGCACCTGTATAGCTAACCTGATTTTGAAGTAGCACTTTATCTTGTGACCTTGACTGTCGCAGTGCAGCTTTACCCTTCAGGTAGTAATGGGAGCAGTTCCCTCAGAGGCTGCGTTTGCTGCCTTCTGTCTCTTAAATACGTCTCTTCAAGTCTGCTTTTGATTCATCAGTTAAATTTCTTTTTAAACTTTTTTCTTTGTGTCCATTACCTTCTGGGGTTTTGATTCCTCAGAAATAACTTTTCACAATGGAAAATAAAGAACACTGAACAGAAATGAAACTTTTTGTGTACTTCAAACAGCATAAAGTGTTTATTTTACAAAAGAGAAGGTGCTCTTTGAGAGCAATTCAGAATCATGCTGACAAGGATACTGATAGAAATACTAATTTTTTGTACGTATAAAAATACTTTCCAAGTTCAAGGACTAGCTTACTTCTTTGGGAATGTGGGAGAGGGATTCATATGGCTGGGTGCTGAGACAGTGGATAGGCTGGAGCACACTGTCACTTTTACTACAGTTACCCTGTAAGAAAGAAAGCAGCTCGTCATAAAATGACCTTTTGGCCTGAAGGCAGCATGGAGAGGGTGAGTGCTCAGGATGTCATCATGCTTTGTGTTTAGATTAGTCCTCAGGATACTGTCCTGCTGTGAAGCCTGCAGTGAGGTTGGTCTGTGCCCTTTACTGAAGCTGGAACAGAGACAACCTGGGGAAGTGTAGATGATGCTTACATTACTCATGCAGAGCCTTCCCTACCCCAGGGTCTTCTTGATGCTTGTAATCATTTATGGTAAATAATGTTCAGTGGTAACTCAGATAGCATACCTTAACTTGGTGGTCCTCCTTGACTGACATTTGATGGGTCTTAAGGAGATGATTTTGAGCATCTCTTGTGACTCAGAGAATTAAAACATCCAGTTTGAAATCAAACTACATTCAAATTTTCTGTAGGCTCTAGTAGAAGACCTTAGGATAGGTGATGCCAAATGTTCGTAAACCACTAGAAGCGCTTCATATTTTCTTTTTGGATGAATTGGATTTATGTGAGCAGTTTAAACAAATCATAGACTGAAATAAAAATTTAAATAATAGTTTAATTTGCAAACTTCTGTCTAGCAAGCTCTTTCTTATAAAAGGCTGCCCTTCAAGAGGGATTTGAAAGGGATTTGAAAGGCCCTGCAAATTCAGGCAGAACCCAGAGTACACGTATTCTGTACAGCCTATAATCCGGGTAGTTTCTATGGGTAAAGAAGTGTGGGAAAGGAAAAGAAATAAGGGATAAAAGATTTGGGAGGATAAAGTACAGAGAGGAAAAAGCCAGCTATCAAAAAGTGAATCACAGCCAGGCTTTGCAGCACCACCTTTAACCCTAGCACTCGTGAGGCAGAGGCAGGCAGATCTGTATGAGACTGAGGTCTCCATAGTGAGTTCCAGGCTAGTCAGGGCTTATAGAGTAAGACCCTGTCTCAAAAAAAAAAAAAAAAAAGGGCAGGAATTTAGGAAGACCCATTTCTCAATTACTAGGATCACCCAGTGAAGGACTATCCAATTCATAGCAATTTGAACCTTATTTCCAGGGAAAAAGACTTTTTTACTTGCTAAATAAATCTTGCCAAAAGATAAGTCTATTCCTTACATTCATTCCTATATACACTGAAAAAAAAAATACATAGCCAGGACTTGCCAGGAATTTGGACAGCTCACTTCCAAATTAACTTACCTGGGAAGCTGTGATGGGAAGGAAGGAGCTTGGGCACTGGAAGCTTTGTCTCCATAACAAGAATACAGTCAGCGTAGACTGTTGGTCTGTGAGCCCTACACGGCTGAACCTGGGACTCTTGCTAAGAGCCGGTGCCTGAAGAAGATCACTTATTGCTTCCAGACACAGCATACTGACCAGTATGGCTTCAGTGTTTATTTCTCACAGTTCAGGAGGCTGACAAAAGCAACACAGATCCAGGGTCCTTTTGACTTGTGGACAAGTGCTTTCTGTGTCTTCCTATGGTAGAGAAACCACCTTGTCTCTTACAAGAACACTCATCCCATTCAGAAGGGCTCCATAACCAAACAGCCACCCAAAGATCTCGTTTCCAATACCATCATCTGGGGGGTTAGGGTTAGACATGGGGATTTGGAGGGAACCAAACCTGTTCATGGCATAGTGTATATAAATAATTCATAGTAACAACTTTGGAGTGAATTGTATCCTAAAGATGCTGCTGGTGATAAGGAAAATCAGAAATTCTGGGATGGGTTGATAGAGACCTCAGAGATTGCCAGATTTCTAGCTCTCCTGTCATTTTTAGCAGTTTTCTGTTTGGATCAATAACATTTGTGACCAAAGACACTAAGTGTTGTGTGTTAGATCAATAATGTAGTACAAAAAAGTAACCTGATATTCCTTATTTGTCTCTAATAAAGGCTGAAAACCCTTTCTCAAGGCCAGATTCTCGTCATGTCTCCTACCCTGCTAGACTAACAGTTCCTCAGATTGTCACTTTAGATGGGCTGATGCTTCTGATTCTCGTTGCTTCAAAGTAGAGTGTGAACTGACAGCGTTTACAAAGGGGGGTGCAGATCCACACTTTCAGACTTTCTTCCTTATGTGCACACTGATTTCCACCTCAGATCAGTGGCTGTTTATCTGAGCTACTGCCTTTGGGAGCTCTTCAAAAAACAATGCTTTATGTAATATGTCTTTAAATTGCTTGCTTATAATTACAAAGGCTAACTAATGAAGCATGTTAGTGATGGACACAATTGAGAAGTGACTCACCTGGAAAGCAAAAACAGATCACTCAGAGATTGGCCAACCATGGACAGTCAACACAGCTTAACTGAGGAAATGGTGACTCAGCTTAATTCAATAATTAGTTAAGAGCCATTGTACTGCAAATGCATAGAGTTGAGTCCTACTGATAGCATATTATAGAAGAATTTTTAAATGCTAATACCGAGGACTTTTATAGCTGCAATGAAATAGGTGCTTCCATAGACATTTTCAAACTACGCATTAGAGCTGGAGAGATGGCTCAGTAGTTTTAGGAGCACTGGTTGCTTTTGCAGAATACCAGAGATTGGGTCCCGGCATTCACAGGGCAGCTAACAACTGTCTATAACTCCAGCTCTGGGAGAGCTGATGCCCTCTCTGGCCTCTGCAGGCACCAGCACTCAAATGCTCATATAAACATACAGATACATAATTAAAAGTAAAATAATCTCTTTTAAGAAACTACACATGGGTGCTGGAGAGATGGCTCAGTGGTTAGGAGCACTGGCTATTCTTGCAAAGGACCTGGATTCAGTTCCCAGAACCAACATGATAGCTAACAACTATCTGTAACTCCTGTCCCAGGAGATCTGAACCCTGTTCTGGCTTCCCTGGTCATTGCATGCACATGGTACACTTACAAACATGCATGCAAAACACCCATACACATAAAAAAATGCCATTAAAAAAACTGCACATTAGTTTTGTGATAGGTTTCAAGAATTTAAAGACTTAGATGTTCCAATCCTTTTATTTGATTAATGCTGTGCTATTCTGGGAATTCTGTCTCCTAGAAAATAATTGGTGATTTTAACTAAATTAAATCTAACTTGTTGCTTTTATGATTTTTCCATAACCATAAGAAAAGGAAAAGCCCGCAAATGAGAAAATAATTTCATAGTACCCACGATGATAGGATGTTGCCTATTTTAATATTTCAGCTTTCAAACGCTATTTTAGAGCTCTATTTAAATGTTCAAAGAACACAGAAAAATGCTATGAGGTATTAAGTTAAAAAACAATGGAAATCTATGTACATCACTCTCTTAGTAAGACAAGAAAAGAAACACACAGAGATACATGGGAAGAAATGCAACAAATTATAATTATCCCTAGTGCGAAGATTGCTGTAAGTTTAGTTACCTTCCTTGTGTTTTTATGAATTTTCCAAATTCTCTGACATGAGCAATCTTACTTTCTAATGTGGAAAAAGTAATGAGACACTTCTTAATTTGTTAACATTTACTTTTTTAACTTTTAAGTTAAATGATGTACTCTAAAAATACTTTCATAGCAGGGTGTGGTGATGCACATCTTTAATCCCAGCACTCAGGAGACAGAGGTAGGAGGATTTCTGTGAGATTGGGGCCAGCCTAGTCTACATAGCAAATTCCAGGCCAGCTAGGGCCCCAGGGAGACCCTGTCTCAAAAGACCAATAAATAAATAAATGTTTTAACCTGATATCCAAACACCAATTCATTAAGTTGTTCAAAACTGCATATAGGGCTGGAGAGATGGCTCAGTGGTTAAGAGCACCAGCTGTTCCTGCAGAGGGCCAGGTTCGATTCCCAGCACCCACATGACGCCTAACAACCATCCATAACTCCAGTTCCCTGGGGCACCAACGTCCTCTTCTGACCTCCATTTGTACAATACAGGTGCACTTACATACATGCAGGCAATACACTTACACACATAAAACAAAAAATCATAAATATTTTTTACACTCTGTATAGTTAAAAAGGATGTATTCTACATGACCAGGTTCAATTAAGTTATCCTCAAACTTTCCATAATAATTTAAATTTCTTGCTCTTTAGAAAGTTGAAACTGGTAGGCAAACACCCATGAAGGAAGTCAGCACATCCGCATCCATACTGCCTGCTCTTAGCTGACTGATTCTGCAGGGATTTTTCTCTGTTGCTTATGTGCACTCTGTATTTTAAAGCTAGCCTCACCAACACAGTTTTTGTAGCCACTTCTCAGAAACCATGCTGACTTCCAGGGTCTGTACCTGGAGGGACATCCCACCCTTGGGCCTTCGAGATTCCCCAGACAACATGGATCTCAGGTGTATTAGTCACTTTTCTGTTGCTGTGATAGAAACACCGACCAAAACAATTTATAGAAGGAAGAGTTTATTTGAGCTTATGGTTCCAGGGGAATTACAGTCCATCATGGCAGGGAGGCATGGCGGCAGAGGTGGCTACAGGAGGAGCAGTGGAAGCTAAGCTCTCACATCATCATGCAGGCACAGGAAGCAAGAGGGCGACTGGAGATCCAGCAAAGCTTTAAGAACTCTCTGAGCCCACCCCAGTGACGTGCTTCCTCCAGGACAGCCACACCTTCTAAAACCTCCCAAAACAGCGCCATCATCTGGGGACAAAATGTCCAAATATTTGGAGCCTATGGGGGACATTTTCATTCAAACCACCACATCAGGCATGTGATATCTCTTCACAGGGACTTCTTGATCATCAGAGCTGTCCCGTGTGACACCCCTCCCCACAAGTCAAAGCTTCGAGGTTCAGTTTTGAAAGCCCATTTTCCCTCCTAGCACAGGGAGACCCTGGTCTAGCTTCTTGAACAGAGGAGAGCCCTGGGTTACCAAGAAATGCAGGGAGATGAGTTACTTCTTTTATGTATGAGTATTTTGCCTGCCTGCGTGCAAGTGCAACCATATTGTGCATTGCCTGCAGATCTCAGAAGAGGGTATCAGATCCCCTGGAACTGGAGTTACTGACTATTGTTAGCTGTCGTATGGGTACCGGGAACTGAACCTGGGTCCTCTGCAAGAGCAGTCAGTGCTCTTAACTACTGAGTCACCTCCCCAGCCCTGAGTTAATATTTTAAATACCATGTCATGTAATAGGCTGTAAAAATTTAATGGAGTATGTGTGGCATGAGAGGGAGTATACAACCATGTCAAATATCCTTGTAGAATGAAAAGGTTGAAAATATGAGATGGATACTGTACTGAAAAAACTATCATCTGTGAAGGCAAACCAAACAAAACAGAAACCAGCAAGCAAAACATCAACAGGGGTAAATCAGATTTAAAATCAATATTAAACATTCTACTTGGGTTTACCAATGGCAGTTTCTTTTTAAAAAATATTTACTATTGCATTTTATGTATATGAGTGTTTTGCCTGAATGTATGCCTGAAGAGGCCAGAAGAAGGTGTCAGATCCCTTGGGACTAAAATTATAGATGGTTGTTAGCCAGCATGTGGGTTCTAGGAATTGGAACCCGGTTCTCTGAAGAACAGGAAGTGTTCTTAACCTCTGGGTCATCCCTCCAGTCCCTACTAATGACAGTTTTTAGCATCTGATGGACTGGTTTGGAGACCAACTAGCCTGGAGTATGCACTGTACAGCAGAGCCCTTGCCCTCACACGGTGGAGGGCAGGAACGGGATCAAGAACAGAGGACAGCCAAAGTTGTCCTCTGACCTTCACTCACATGCCACAGTACATTCACAACCACACCCCCCCACAAGCAAAAATCTTTAATTCAAGGGAGGAAATAAGATGGCTGTCCTTGGAAAGCTTGCCCTTTGCTTCCATGGCCCTGTGCTTACTTGGTTTAATCTGACTTTCCTGACAGTTCTGTCTCTACTTTCCTTTAAGTACAAGTGAGAAACAGAGTTGAGAAAAAAGGGAACCAACTCCAGGCAGATCTTGACTGCATCAATGAAGGCAGGCCAGCGGCCATACTTCCTCGCCGGGCTGTTGCCAGGGTCAAAAGCAGGAAATGAGTGTGAACCATACTGTTACCTGTGCCTGGCATAGAAAATGGCACATAAAATATTCCCCAATATTCTGTGGGGCTGGAGAGATGGATCAGCGATTAAGAACACTGGTTGTTCTTGCAGAAGACCTGGGTTCGAATCCCAGCACCCACATGGCTGCTAACAACTGTCCGTAGCTCCAGTTCCAGGGGATCCGACAGCGTCTTCTGACCTCCGAGGGCACTGCACGACGGGTGCACTTACCTACATGCAGGCAATACATGCATACACATATAATAAAAATAAGTAAAAAAAAAATATTCCCCAATATTCTGTCCTCAGCACTACCTTTTCTGCCAGCAGTCTCTTCCTTCTTTTGGAATATTCATGGCTTTATCATCTTTAATAAAATTACTTAAGGAGATAAAGAGGTGAGAGCTAATACACAGGCAGAGTCAACACAGAAATATAATCAATACACAGTAATATTTGGCCTCTGTGTCCGTCTTCCTAGACTCTGGGACAAGACTGATGGCTTATTTCCCCACGTGGAGAAACAAACGGCCTTCTACTTTGGCCATTTTTGTGCCCTTCTGGTCTCATACCTCTATCTTCTGATCCCAGCATTCTCCTGTTTATACCTTGGTTTGTCACACTCGGACTGACGGCTCCCTTTTTATTTCTACCCTAAAACGGCAGTTTTCCGATGCTAGCATATCAGGATCCACAGAGGAAAACGTGGCACTTTATTAAAGAAGTCAGTCACAAAGGACCACAGATTGTGTGACTGGGTTTCTGTGGAGTGTCTAGAATAGGTAAATCCACAGAGACAAGAAGCAGGTTACTGTTTGCCTGGGGCTGGAGATGGTGTGGCGACAAAGGAGTGATTGACAATGGGGATGGGATTTCTTTTTGTGGTGTTGAAAATGTTTTAAGTT